CACAGGACATGGTCCCAGAAATCCATGTCCTTAATCTGCTTGTCTGCAGCAAACTGTATGCAGTCTTTCTTGTGCATCATCTTTAGAAGAGGCTTCCTTCTGGGACAACAGCCCTGGAGACCAATTTGATGCAGTGTGCGGTGTATGGTCTGAGCACTGACAGGCTGACCTTCCACCCCTTCAACCTCTGCAGCAATGGTGGCAGCTCTCATACATCTATTTCCCAAAGCCAACCTCTGGATATGACACTGAGCATGGGCACTCAACTTCTTTGGTCAACCATGGTGAGGCCTATTGTGAGTGGAACGTGTCCTGTTAAACCGATGTACGGTCTTGGCCACCATGCTGCAGATCAGTTTCAGGGTTTTGGCAATCTTCTCATAGGCCATCTTTAAGTAGAACAACAGTTCATTTTTTCAGATCTCCAGATAGTTCATTACCATGAGGTGCCATGTGGAACGTCCAGTGACGAGTCTGAGAGATTGAGAGCGATAACAACTGCTCCCCCTTCACACCTGAGACTTGTGAAACTAACGAGTCTCATGACACCAGGGAGGGAAAAGAGCTACTTGGGCCCAATTTGGACATTGTCACTTAGGGGTGTACTCACTTTTGTTGCCGGCAGTTTAGACATTAATGGCTGTGTATTGTGTTATTTTGAGGAGACAGCACATTTACATTGTTATACAAGCCGTATACTCACTGCTTTACATTGTAGCCAAGTGTCATTTCTTCAGTGTTGTCACATGAAAAGATATACTAAAATATTTATGAAATGTGAGGGGGTGTACTCACTTCTGTGATATACTGTATGTGCTGGCTGTGACAAATAGTTTTAACCATGAAAGGGTGGATTTTTAATAAAGATCAATTGGTTGGAGAGGGATACTGATTCTACTGTCAGAAGCTGCCCTACCCAGGTGAAATCACCAAGAAGCTGCTAACTTCACAGAGTTCACGGAAAAGAGACTTATGCATCTTCCCTCTGCATAGGTCTCCTAGGAATAGGTGAAAAGGAAGCACAGACATTTCTGCTTTAAGTGCTACTGTCAAAACATGAGGTTTGGTTATAGACACTGTACACCTTTGACTGAGTGAACAACACTGCCTGAAAAAAAACAACATTTACAATTTAATCCTACACTCCAGCTGCAAGAAAAATTAATTCTACCTCATTTAGAGACTGAGAAGGAATTTTGATATTAGGGATTTAATTTTATCTGTCAAAAGAATAGAGATGGGAGGACCCATCTATGTTGTCCTGAAAATGTTTTCTATAGTAGGTATAACTGTCCTTTTATGTCTATTAGCCTCTCAAGTTCTCACACATCGACATTGTCCTCATGCACAGTAAGTGGCAGGTGTACTGAAAAGGATGCTAAATTTAGGCTGTGTCTGGTGAATCAGTACTGACATGAACTTGCTCTGTGGAGACCAATTAACTCAAGTGGAGAGGAGAATAACACAAAGCCATGCAACACTCCAGAAATTGATATCCAGAGCCAGTCATGTGAGAAGAACACAACATCTTTGAACCATCAGATACTCCAAAGAACATCTTTAAAAAGTGTAGCACATCATATAGGATAACGCAAAGCCATACAACACTCCAGAAATTTCTGTCCAGAAGCAGCCACGCAAGAAGAACACAATGTTCTGAACCATCAGATATGCCAAAGAACATCTAAAGATGTGTGGCATAACATATGGGGAAGTGTGGCTAAACCTCCTGGAGAACTATCATGAACTGACTGGAATCCTTTTCCCCTTCCTCCAGTGAAACAGAATTCCTACAGACATTTCTCTTGAAAGGGATCTCCTAGAGAAACCACAAAGCTCCCAAGGGGAAAAATGGCCTGAGAACTCAGAAATGCAAGAATTCCTGTCAGAATGATTTTCTTTCTGGAATTATTTTGTCTCTGGTAGGCAGTACACAGATTTCAGATTTACCTAAGGCTGATAGGAGAGAGAAGAAAATAATGTTTGATCTTCCATTTTGGAATATATAAGATGCAATTTCTGCTGGAATCCATCTCTAGCCCTAAACACATCTTCAAGTAACTGCCAGGACTTGCCAGGCAAATATATTGCCTCATTGTGAAATCTGAAAGCGTTCTGATGAACCAATATGCCTTTTTCTGCCTTTCATAGCTTTATTCTATCTCAATTAAATAGGATTCCATGCAGTATACTAAGGTCTCTGGGATTAAGTCTTAACTTTACACTGGATTATGATGACCACTGGTTCTGAAAGCTATCCCAACTGTTCCATTTATGTCTAGGCCCACAATGTTTTAAAGTGCTTTAGTTCTTCATGATATAGCTTTACCTTAGGGAGAAACCCTATTAGATTGTTCACCTCCCAACACAAGAATAACACAAGCCCTTTATACAATCAGTATGAAATGCCCCAGCATAAAACGTGTGTCTTTTTCTTGAGGACAACAGCTCTGCATGCACACATGCATGCCTACGCACCAAGTACAGAAGGACTGAACTATTGAGCAGGAAAATATAGATAATCCATCAAGTGCTTCTAATTCTCAGAAGTACATGCAACAAGGCAGCAGCTATCATCATTTTGTTTAGATTGTAGGGGAAAAATCATCTCTGCAAATATGAAAATCTTTATTGACACCACCTGAAAATATATTGCTGTTTTTTTCAGGAGAAAAAGAAAAATGTATGGTTTCTCATTCAATGGTTTACATCTGCATCCTATATATTGCACATGTCTACACACCCATCCACAGGACAGCATCAATATCAGTGATAGCATATTCCTAATGTTATTAGGATCAGATGTCAGTCATGAGATAGTGACTAGACTTCATGTTCCATCTTTTGCATCCCCCCACTATTGCATCACTAAGAAATAAAAGGGACTCACATCTTCAATATCATACAGTAAATCTGTTACTTTAAAAAACTTTTTAGTATACCCTACCTTTCTTTTGCGCAGAATGACTTGACCCTCTGTAGGCTGCTGTTTGATCCTGTCTGTCCTTAATTCAGCCACACCTTCCACCAAAAGCACGCTTGGGATACATTCCTTTTGAGAATCTCCAGAATTATTTTCATCCAGGCTATTTTTGTGTAATGCAATGCCAGAACCAAGGGATGGCACCAGACAGTCACTGGAGGCTACAGTACCTATAGCATTGTCACTACACTGAGCAGGAGAGGGTTCATCAAGTAATGAACGGCAGGCAGTTTTCTCCACCCTGTGTTTAGGAGCATCGTGTTCATGCTGACAGGCTGCTACAACATCATGGACTGTTGTCTCCTCAGACATATTTTTTCCCATGTTTGGAATCTCCTGTAGTTTTTCTCTGGAGGTATCTTTCTTTTCACTAGAACTGCTGTAATTAAGTCCCAGATTTTTTTCTCTGCCATCACACATATTCTCCTCTACCTTCAGTCCTTTGGAATCTGCCTCCTTATTAGATTCATCTATTTTCCCAGTTGGTCCACAAGCGGGCTTCAATTCTGCCATTGCTTCCATGCTTGGATAGAAGATTCCTCCAGCTCCTCCTTCTACAGTATTTCCTTTAGCTGACGGTTCCTCTTCAACCTGATCAACTATCTCCAAAGAAAGCTCCATGTCATTGCCATCAATATCATCATCTCCAGTGGAAACATTGACTAAAGTTTCCATGCTGTCTTCCAGAGAAAGAAATTCTTCCTCCTCTTGATGATTGTCATTTTCATCCACTTCTTTGGAAACACTCCCAAGCAATTTTGAGGGGAAACCTATCAACTCTCCACCATGGCAGAAATCAGGTAAGGAAGCACTTTTTTCTTTCCAGCCTTCGCTCTGAAGTCCATCATTTTCCATGCTTGCCTGCAGGTTGTCAGCTACTAGGCCATGTCTGCATAAGATATTAGAATCTATAGACCCAAAAGGCAAAGCCATCCATTGAGTCACGTGCTCCTCCCAGCTTCTTTTTCTGATTGCTAGAGACATGGCATAGTACTTTAACAACAGGTTCCAAAGTGTAATTCGATCATGACCAGAGGAAACATCATGGCTTCCGTGAGCTTCTCCAGAGGATGAAACAGTTTTACCTCTTGCATATCTGTTTTGAGTGAAAAAAAAGGACAATAATTAAGTAGTCACCCCAGTGTGAAAAGCAGAAACACATGTGGGAAAAGAAGCATGCATAAGCAACACAAGAAGTGAATGACTTAAGAAAGAATGAACTTAGAAAGATGTTTTGCAGAATAACTTCACTAGTTTTCAAACAAAGTTAGAAGCTATAATCTAGCATCGCCTTCTTGCTGATTATTTCCCCAAACTGAGTAAACAGAATTTTATAAACAACTTCATGGGGACACAGTGAGTTCCATCAGCAGACATTTGACCATGAGTTTCTCTTCACTGCCTCTGTCATAAGACAAATTTCCGTGGGTTTTGAAGCTGTTGAATCCTGTGAGTCTTTGTACAGAGCACAAGTCTACATTTTCTGGTCATGAAAAGAATCAAGCATGTCATTGTTGTTTACAGGCAGACTTTGACTGACTGTAGCTTGAACTACTCATACATTTGAAATTCTGCTTTACTCTATTAACAATGACTGAGCATATTCATAACTATCAACTTTTGTAATCATTTAAAAGAAGAGTATTTCCAATTAGAGTTATGTTTTATTTTTGTTTTGTTTGCTTGTTTTATTCCCCTTATTTCTTCACATTCACTATAGCAGCTGGGAACAATGGACACTGGGATATGTCATTCTTTCATAATTTTGTTATTTTCTTAGGGCTTCAATTTTTATGACAGTACTGGTTTTTAAAGGGCAGAAAAAGGCAAAGTGGTGGCTTTGCAATCAGAAACAAACGTGTTGGGAAGTAAAAGACTTCTCTTTTTCCTCCAATGTTGTTTTCCAATTTTCAAAGTTGCAAATAGCTTGATTTTGCTTAGTAATTGGTCCTAAGGAGGTAACCTCTAGCCATTGTCTTCATGTTGATTGTACAAGCTTGGTAACAATTAAGAGTGTATTTCTGGCATTTCTGGAGTGATAACATTTTATCACTTTCTACTTGTGAAGCTGCCACCTCAGCTGTTTCTGCCCTTAGACAGAGATCAGTGCTCAACTGTTTACTCTTATAACTGCTAGGCTGCTTGAATGTGAGTTATAGTTCAATTCTGGTGTGTCCTCTAAGTATGAAAAGAAAGAAAAAAGAGCTTGGAAAATTACTTTTAAAATTAATTAGTCACAATTATTGTTTCATGTACAAGTTAAGCAGGTAGGCAACATTACACTCACATTTTTATAAAAAAAATATTATTTTCTATTCCATAAAAGTGACTAAAATAGTTGTGCATTTTGTTTAGTTACTTTTATAAAAAAAATGGAACTCTACAACCCATACTAGAAAACACATTGCTCTACTAATCATCTTGTCATTGCTTCAAACTCCAAAAAACAAAAGGGAACAGGATTAGGTACAAAATGGATCAGCCTGTTCTTCTAGGATGAAAGCGCAAATCCCAATATAGTTTGATGACACAGTGAATTCATATGAAGAATCAGGTGAACGAACTTCTATGCTGACTGTTCTCCAGTCACAGCTCAGCTGTGCAAAAGAGAGGTGACCTCTGAATTATCTGATTAATAGTCAATTAGCAGCCAGCCTTGTTCAGCTGCTACAAGCAATTATCTGTTGTAAACAAGGATGACTTACTGTAATTAGAGAATAGTCCTAATAAACTGGAAGAAACAATGAACAGAGGAGAAATCTTTCAATACTGAACAAAGGAAACCCACTCCATTTTAATATCTTACAAATGTAAATTAAAAAGTCAGCCTATATTATATAGTCTCTTCTGATTAACAGCCGTTGCCTCTTCTTCTACAAGTCTTTCAATTTCCCAGACTTCCTGAGCTTGATTGCAAAGTATCCCTAAAAAATAAGGATACTGTACATCTATGCTTGAATAAAAAAAAACTTCTTTGCGTATCAAGGCACTTTACTTCCTTAGATTCTTTGAGATCAGTGATGACTCTTGAGCCCTGCTGATTGGCAATCTGAAGGAAATTATTGCTGTTGGGAATCTTGTGTGAATGCATCTCTATGAAATTAACTACTCGTGTATGGTGGCAAACACACTACTGAAGACTATTATCATGTCAGATTTCAAAGAGAGATAAAAATACTTTTTGGAAGTACAGTTCCCAAAATACATACCCCGGCCAACATGGCCATCTTTGCCAGATTAGCATTGCTGTTCAAAATTAGGGAATTCCCTAGCATGTTTAATATGCTAGATGAGCCCACAGGTATATATCTAAAGAGGCAGCTTTGTGGTTGACCTTCCAGACACAACCACATCAAAAGGATTAAAGGGGGAGGAAGCCAATCAGTGACGTGTATCAGCGATCCATGAGATCCTCTAGCACATTGGTTCTTAACCTTGGGTTACTCAGGAGTTTTGGACTGCAACTCCCAGAAGCCTTCACCACCAGCTGTCCTGACTGGGTTTCTGGGAGTTGCAGTTCAAAAGCATCCGAGTAACAAAGGTTAAGAACCACTGCTAGCATACGAAACCAGCTCAACCCAAGGTTAAGAACCAGTGCTCTAGCATAGCATACGAAACCAGCTCCTTTCACAAAGTAACCTTTCCTTCTATCTTTCCAATGAGCTTTGTATAATAAGGTTACAGTGTTGCCTCGCACAACGAGTGCACCGTAGAGCGATGAATTCGCTCTACGAGGCCGGTTTTGCGATCGCAAATGCGATCGCATACCAATGCCTCAATAGGGAAAAAATCGCAGAGCGAAGGTCGGTAAGCGGTTCGCTTACTGACCTTCGCTTTGCGACCCGCCGATCAGCTGTTCAGCGGCTACAAAATGGCCACCGGAAGCCGAAAAATGGCCGCGCGCAGCGTTTTCGTGCCCTCGTTAAGCGAGGGGAGGGCGCGAAAATGGCTGCCGGCCATCGGAGAAACATCGCTGAACGGTGAGTACAGCAGCCGATTGGAACACATTAAACACTGTTTAATGTGTTCCAATGGGCTTTTCTGCCCCGCTCAGCAATGTTTTCACACAGCGAGGGTTAATCCAGAACAGATTAACCTCGCTGTGCAAGGCACCACTGTATTTGTACAAAGATTTGAATAAGCTGCTCTACAGACTCCCAAGCTGACCTTATTTTGGAATTTATGACAATGTTGTCAATCTTTCAGAATCATGTAAGGAAAAGGGGCACATAGCACAGGATTGCCTGAACGTTTTGAGGCTACTGGTTTTCAGTTATAATAATAATTTATACACGTGAAATAAATAAAGCTTCAAATAGCTTAGAATTTCTTAGCAGAGATGTTTGGCCTTCAGTGATTGACTCTCAGGGGGTTCAAAATGGCAGGGCACTTGGAAATCTGGCATTTGATGCATGTATTGACTAAGGCAACCCAATGAGTGAAAAAAAGGGCAAGGAGTTTACTTTTCCATTTTAAAAAGGGACATAAGCTAGACCCTCAAAAATAAAGCCTTTTTCAGAACACCCAGACAATTGAGATTCAGTACACATGTAGCTGAAGACATACTGCTTACTTGAAATGTCTGAAAAATTAAGCCTTTCTTATGTATTTTTTTTTCAAAACATAGGAATTGCAGTTACCTCATAATATAGCCTAGTGTCTTAATTTAGCACCCAGCAGGTGGAGTTACATCTATAAACACTACGCTGTAAGGAGACCATTGTCTCTTTCATCCCCATCACTTGGACAGTTCAGAAATGTGTGGGAAGTTCCCACTGCCACTTCCTAGAGTGGTTAACAACCTTGGGTCTTCAGATGTTCTTGGACCACAACCCACAGAAATCCTGGTCAGCTCAGCTAGTTGTGAAGGTTTATGGGAATTTTAGTCCAAAAACATTTTGGGACCCAAGGTTGGAAACCATTGGCCTATGCTATCTGTTGGTAGAATGTTCTCCGTACTTCAGGAAATGTTGACAGTTGCTTCCCATACATCCTTGGCTGTGTAATAGATCCAAGAACAGGAGAAAGGGGTTCATGTTGCCCTGAATGGTACAGACCCTGATTTTTAAGTTAAAAATGAAACAGAACACACATGCCCCATCCATCTTATACAATTAAAGGATGGCATAATGATAATACAATGGTGCCTCGCTAGACAGTTACCCCACATGACAGTTTTTTCACTAGACATTGACTTTTTGCGATCGCTATAGCGATTCGCAAAACAGTGATTCCTATGGGGGAATTTCATTGGATGATTTTTGGTCCCTGCTTCGCAAACCGATTTTCGCTAGACAACGATTTTGACAGCTCCCTCCGCGCTCGCAAAATGGGTATTTTCAGGACCTAAGCTTCGCAAGACAGCTATTTAAACAGCTGGTGGGTGGTTCGCAAAGCGGCTTTCCTATGGCCGATCTTCGCTAGACAACAACGATTCTTCCCTATTGGAACGCATTAAACAGGTTTCAATGCATTCCAATTGGGAAATGCTTTTCGTTAGACAATGATTTTGCTAAACAGCGATTTCAGTGGAACGGATTATCATTGTCTAACAAGGCACCACTGTACAGCAGTATGCACTGCACTACAAAGGAATAGTGCTGCAGATCAATCCCTTATTGTTGAAAAGTAATATCACTACCCCTTGTTACTCACAAGAAGTAACAAGCAACAATCTCAATAGTGATTTGTAATGAATTACCTCTAAGCTCTGAGAGGTAGTATAGAATTGCGGCTAGTGGCCTAACTACAGTATATGCCACTTGCAGTTACACGTACTGGAGCCCTGATGCTTCCCCTTTTAAAAAAGAAAAGCAGATTTGAGAAGAGAGAAAATATAGAGCAGAGGAGGAACTGAGGAGATTCTTAGCCTTTTCCTGATTGCCTGCCTTTTGTCTCCTCCATATCACTCTTACTTTGCTTTCTCTTACTCAAAGGGTCAAAAAGATACATTCACCCATACGCCACTGCTTATTTGTGTTCATACACCAGAGACGCCTGCTTTTCTTGAGCTTGACAAGATGACTCTGCATATATTTGGACTTCAGCTCTGAGATTGAGATCTATGAAGTGATCCACTTTGACTCTTAACCCAGC